TTCTTTAATGTTTAATCATGTAATTAATAATATTTATTAGACTTATTTTTGCATGATTTAGTACTTTTAAATTATGATCATTTTCATTATGACTCTGCAATATTTATTTTATATGATGATTTCATTATTATTTTTTATTGAATATTTTAGTGTCATCAGTACTCATCTCATATTTTGTGTTATTTTCTTAAGAAACACCTTAGATAATTGTATTTTGGTTGGACTAAAGAAATATTCGGAGCACAAGTTAATTATATGTTTCCATGCAAACTTTACGAAAAAATCCAAAAATCTGAAAAGTCCGAGGTTTATTAGTTTGGTTTGATTTATAAATTTAAAAATTTGATACAATGGTTTGGTTTGGTATTTGAAAACCAGAACCAACCCGAGGTTGAAAAACCCGAAAAATCCTAATTTTATTAGTTTGGTTTGGTTTATAAATTTAAAATTTTTACACAAATGATTTGGTTTGATTTGAAAAATCCGAACCAAACTGAATGGTGAAACTATACTTTTCAGAACACGACGATCATTACCAAATACCAATATTGCCATTGCTAATTTTCCAATTGTTTTTTTCCATTGGAAATATATTTGTACCGTGAGTTTTTGCTGAAAAACTCTCATTTGTAACTATTAATATGAAAATTATCATAATAATGGAGATTAAAGAAAGTTTATGAACCATATTGGCCATAAGAATTTGAAAAACAGTTGTTAATTAAGGAGTGGTAGAAGAATGAAGTTGATAGAAAAAATTGTGTTTTGGTGTATGGAGGAATGTGTATTTATATGTATCATGATTTAATATAAATGGAAAATATTTTTAAAAAAATAAGATCATATTATTAGAAGTAATGAAAAGATTATTGCCAAAAACAATGAAAAGATAATTGTCTTACCAAAAAAACAAATTGAAAAAAAATTATTGTGAATTGTGATCACTTGAATAGGGCAACATTTTGGTGCATGATTAAGGGGCGGAGCTAGCTTGTGTCAAGGGGATTCATCTTAATTAATTCCCTTCAATGAAAAATTATACTGCATATATATATAACTAAAATTATTTTTATGTATATATAGTTTATGTCGAATCTTCTCTTCAACTAGTTCATATGTTTATTTCTTCAGATTTTGAATCTCCTTAGTGAAAATTTTGTCTCCATCATTGTGTAGATTAACAACAACGACAATATACACATTGTAGTTATTTCATAAATGAAATATGAGGAGGGTGTTGTGTACACAACATCATCCCTGTCCTGTAAAAGTAACACAAGATGTTGTTGATTAACCTTCAGATCAGTAAAGCATTACAAAACATGTTGAAAATAATGAAAAAAGAATTATAATAACAATAATAAATAATATGATAAAAAAAGAAAATAAAATAACATGTACTAATGATATATAAAAATTCAAAAATGGATATAGTAAAAGAGGAAAAAATAATTATTTTCGTGAATGATTAACGTCAATAGTTAGGAGAATTAAGAGGGAGGATATTGTACGTATAATAAATTCCTATACAAACAAAAATTCAATATGATCTCCTTGATTTTTTATGATTTTTTTTTTTTTTTTTGTGATTTAATGCAAATAAATAGGAGGAATTAGGAGAGATTTTGTATAAACATTTCTTGATTGGAGCTTTTATATGGTTGTTAAAAAATGCTACTCATCTATATTATATTCGCTTTTCACTAGAGTCAGTTTATCTCATTTTTAAAAATAAATTAAATTAATTTAATATTTTAAAATTACATGAAAATTATTGTAGGCATAATTATTCTAATATCAATATAGTAAAAAAAAAATATCTTAAAATATTTAACTTTCAGAAAATGAAACATAACAAGTATTATAGGACGGACTTTTAGAAAATGAAATATATCTTAAAATTAAAATTAATTGAACTTGTTTTTTTAATTTTCATTATAAAATATATTTTTTCTTAATAATTGTGAATGACTTTGACTTTTCTTTAGATTTTAGATAAGATAATTAGCCCCTATCACCATCCATAATAAGTTGAAAACAAAAGGCTGGCAACTCTTGAAAAAGAAATTTGCATGGAATTGCCAGCTTCACTAAAATACGGATTTAAAAATTCATAATAATTTCAAGTAACTATATATAATTACTCTATTAAATTTATAATTAATTTTTTTTAATAATATATATATAGATATTTGTGTTGTCTAAGATTACCAAAAATTCTGTATTTGATGAAGATCTTTTTATATATAAAGTAATGGTTTCATGGTATAGTATTTCATAGTCTATATATAAATTTTAATATCGATCGATCTTTCTTTCTAAAAAAATTTATTCAGTCAAATGCTATCATATAATATACGAAGAAGGAAATATTTTCTTTCTTCAAATTAATTTAACTATAAAACACAAGGTTCAAAGAATTTTTTTTGATATATAAACTAAATGAGAAAATAATTTTCAATGCACTTAAGACTTAAATAGAAGAAAATACCTCTATAAGTCTTTCTATGTTATTATTAATCTATTTTTTGTGAAAATAAACCTATAACTAAAATAACATTTATAATAGGTTGGAAAATCAAATTCCTAAAACTAAGCATGCATAATTTACTAAAATCTAACCATAGTATCAAACAAGGGAACCTAGTATATAGTGGGTTCATTTGAAATTAATAATTTTGATTTAAAGTTTCATATTTATATTTAAAAATAATTAATAAATATAATTAATAGATTTTAAATTCAATAAATTAATTAAAGTGGGATAGAATTTCAAATTTAAAACTATAATATTTAAATTCTAAATTCATAAAAATCGAATGAAAAAAGAGAGAAAACATGTCAACCTTCCCCATTAGTTAAAAAGAGGAAATATAGGGACCTTCTTTACAAAGCATTCCAACGTGATTTGTGGTGGAATGATTAAAATAATTTCACCTTTAATAAGAATTTGGTTCGAACTCTTAGGAGTGGAATGATCATGTTGAGACTGTCACTTCTAGAAACGGGCCTTCCAATACGAAAATTTCGTGTGAATTAAATTTAGTTGTGATTCAATGCGGATGTTGGTAATGCCACTCTCAAATATGGACTTTGAAATGCAAGAATTCTAGTGTGAGATTTAGTTGGTCCCCAATACAAATATCGAGAGTGCCACCCCCAAAAATTAATCACACAATAGAGGAAATCTTGCAAATTCAGATTTAGTCAAGCCTCAATGTGAATATCGAAAGTGTCGCCCTCTTAAATTGATCTTGTAAATGCAAAATTCCACATAAAATCATATTGAATCGGGCCAGTGAGAAACTACACACACCAAAAAGAAAAGTATAAAGTATAGAAATCCAAATAATTTGAGCGCTAATTACATTATATTCCGAAAGTTTCTCAAATCATAACAAATTCGTATTTTTCAGATCTCGTGAAGCTATTGTTCCTTCATCCAATACATGAGTTATGTATCATATACATAACTATAAACCAGATTCATACTGATTTAGATTTAACATAATTGGGGTTATGTATCAACAATAACATTTATACCAGATATATTGTACACAAATAAAGTTGTAATGAATCTGATTATAGAGATGGAGTGATGTATCCGGATGTTAAGAGAGAAGAATAAAAATATTTTTGTAATTAATTCAAATGGTAGGAATCTTTAGATACTGTGTTATCTTAAGTAGTGTAATTTCATAAGTTTTCAAAAAAAAAAAAACTATCAAGCCCAAGTGTCAAATAAGTATACTTACATATACTAGAAGTTTGAATTTGAGTTCTGAATAGGAAAAAAATGGACCCTGCTATAATCTATTCGAATTTAGTTCGAGCTTCAACCAGGCGCAAACCCCTCAGTGCAGAGTGAGGAAACCCAAAAAAAATAATTAAAGAATAGCTGTCAGTGAGAGTGGTGAGCACGCAAAAACAGTCCTCAAAAGAATCACAAACCAACTCAAAAATCCCATTTGATTTCTCACTTTCCATACAGAAATTTATGTAAATAAGTCATTTTCCCCTCAATATCTGTTTCTGGGTGATTCTTGAACATGGGTTGTTCTGGATCCAAAGAAAATGGTACTCTCCTTTTTTTTGGTAATTCTTGGTGAAATCATTTGCTTTTACCAATTTTTAGGTAATACCCAATTGGTTATAGAGTTATATGGTGTAAGTTTTGCTGTTAGGGATTTGCATTTGTTGTAAAGATTGTTGATTTTATTGTTTTTTGCTCTTTTCTGGGAATTTTCTTTGTGCTGTGCTTGTGTTCTTGTTATTTTTGGTGAAATTAGTTGTTTTTCTTATACCAATTTTTAGGTATACTCAATTGGTTATATGGTGCAAGTTTTTTATATAGTTTACATTTCTGTTTGTTGATGGATTTGCATTTGTTGTAAAGTTGGTTGCTTTTTTGGGAATTTCACTCTCAAGGACTTTGAGAATTCATATCCTAACTTGTTGGTGATGTTTGAGGAGTAGCTTTTTGATGAATTCAGTGTTGGGAGGTATTTAGCACTTTTTAATTGAAATTGCCCCCATGAGTTAGCTCAATCAGCAAACGTTGAGGGACTTGTGTCTTATTTCACAAGTTCGAGCCTTGCCCCAAACAAATTAACTTCAGTATTTAAGTGGAGAAGGAACTCCGCCTGTGTGAGTTTGTTCACATTGTCGGTCCCAAGCTCGGAGAAAAGAGGAGGGTTGTTGAGGATCAATCGGAGACAACCTGTCTACCCCATAGAGGTAAGGGTAAGGCTGGGTACATCATACCTTCTCAGACCTCACTTGTGGGATTACTATGTGTTTGTTGTTGTTGTAGTGTGTAAGTGGAGAAGGGTGGATAGGTGGGCCTAATCATCCCTGAGTTTCAAAGGCTGCATTGGCCCAAAGGGTTGGATCCAGACGGATTCTTCGATTAAAAAAAAGGATGGTGATAGGTTAGCTTAGAGTTGTAGAGATGATGGTGGGTTGCTTATTTGACTAAAGACTCGATAGATCAATGATGCCTCAATCCGAAACTAGTTAGTGTCAACTTTATGAATCCTCCATATTGACTGAGTATAAAATTTAAGCTGGAGAAACCATCGTATGAAATAAAAGTCGCCTTTGCCCAAGTTTAGACTGGTACACATTTTGATCCGTAACATGATTCCTAGCACTGTACTTTACTTCAGGATGTGTGATGGTACTTTCTAGAAATGTGGTGAGAGAGTAGATCTCAAACAGATTGCAGACACCCAATATCTTGTGCTTGTCTTCTATCTGTTCGAGCAGCCTCGGGAAAAACCAGTTTCTTATCACCAGCGTTTATCAACAGATTGTCTTTTCATATTGCTTTTTTAAGTTTTAATTCAAGTCTGAAGTAAGTGGATATAAGTGGACCGATATTAGGAGTAGAAATCGAATTCATGGAGTGTGTTGGCTGAAAGTCAAGAAGTACCTAAAAGCAACAAGTTCAGTTACTTCTCAGAATTTTTGTGTTGAAAAGCATGACTATCTCATCTAAAAGCGCTTATGTTGTTAGAGAATGAACTTTTATTTTGGAATAATACATGAACAAACACTCAGATTTGGCCTTAGTTGGCAAGTAAGCACTCCAATTTTGAGAGTGCACATGTAGACACCTCAACTTGGCCTCAACTGGCAATGTCAGAGCGTTAGGCTTTGTGAGGTAGAATTCAGGTTGTTAGCCCATCAACGGAGAGATTAGGTTGATTAGAGTTCATTGCAGTTTCAGTTTGGATACTCTTTTACATAAGTTTGACATCTTAGGATAGAGTCGAAGTCCATGGGAAAATGTAAAATAATTTTATAAATTTTTTATTTTGTCAGGCATCATACTGAAGGTGCCAAATGACCCTGCATATCAATTGAATGCTTGATTTTTCCACTGAAAGCAATCTTGTCAAATAGGAATGAAATGTCGCATAATTTGTTGATAATACAAATGCAAAGAAAAAAATCATTTTCTCCTATGGAACTTGTTATCTGGCTGAGCAGAGCTTCTTAAATTGTACTACGATAAAATGAATTGCTGGTTCCTGGCTGTCATACTCAAGTTATCGGAGCAAATTGAGTGTATGGGTTCATGTTGTTACTAGCATGGCCTGGTTAGGATGGTTTTATGGTCATCTAGTTTCCAGTCAGACATCCATTTGCCAATGCGTAATAGGTGAAACGTTTTTGCAGATCTTGCTTCCCTTGATTCGACAACCTATAATTTCTAAACCTTCTGCATTTGCCTTTCGGTTATGGACTTATAGAATGTCTCTATTTCCTTTCATTTTGAGTAATAGTTGTTCCTTTGGTTAGTTGTCTTTCAGTAGAAGTTCTTTCTATGCTATACGTTTTATTGTTTTCTGTCATATCTACCCTTTCCTTTTCATTCTCTGTATAGTTCTCATGTTATTGTTATGATGAGCACTTTATTTCTTAGACTATCTTCACAGTTCATTTTGTAATGACTTCAGGTTATTTTCCTGACAAAATGATCTTATCAACCTGTTAGTTACCCAGTGTTTGTTGTTTTCTGCTAAATATTGATACCACTATCTACCATATGTCAACCATCTCTGCTGTATGTATTGACTTCACTTTGTTGTCTCGCTTACCCTTCCATACTAGTAGTCGTAGTATTTCTCCCGTAGTTTCTTGTCCGTCAATTTCTGTTACTCTCTATTGATATTGCACTTTTTTGGTGTAGTTACTGTTCCTTTTTTCAGAATGTGTTGTCATGCTTTCTATAGTATTTTGCCATTATCCCTTCACTTCAGTTATTTCTTTTTTGATATGCTTTTCCTTGAGCTGAGAGTCTATCGGAAACAGCCTCTCCACCTCCCAAGGTAGGGGTAAGGTCTGCGTACACTCTACCCTTCTCAAACCCCACTTGTGGGATTACACGAGGTATGTTGTTGTTTAGCGAATTAGTCATTTTGTTCTTATCAGCAGTATTTAATATTGGATCTTTTACAGTAGCCATTTGAAGGTTATAATCCTAGGAAGATGAATGTTAGATCAATACTTAGGTCACTTAGTCAATTCCCTATTATACCCGTCATACACATCTTTTATCACAAAGTTTATAGTCTCTGTTTTTTCTTGTTAAGTCACAGATTGGTTGAGGAAATGAGTTGTGGTCTCCTTGGGGAATCCTCCTCTCATGAGGTTGTGTTGGATCCAAAGTTTCGCATTTAACAATTCTTTACGTTATTGGCTTGTTTAAAGCATAGGACTATATGAATTACAGCTATCGTGTGGTAAGGAATTCCTTCTAGGAGGAAAAAGAGAATACTCCAATGCTTTATTTCTTTCCATGACTTCATGCTGCCTGCTATATCCCGTGAATTCCGATACTGATAGATCATGAACAATTTTCTTAACTTCTTATATGATATATTTTCTTTTAATAGCACTCCTGAGCGACGGAATTCTGAGTTTGTTTCTTGATTGCAGAAGCAGCTAAACAGATACGAAAACCAAAGCCTTGGAAGCATTCAGAACCTATTACGAGGGCTCAGCTTGTACAGATGCGTGATGAATTCTGGGACACAGCACCACACTATGGGGGTCAAAAAGGTAATCTCCATAAAATACGGGAAGTTTTACCATTGTACTTGTTTCCTGTTTCTGGAATAATTGTTTCCTAGCCAGAAGATAGTAAGATAGGAATTCTTATTATCTCGATATTCTTATCCGAAAAGTACTATCTCATTGTTCTTGGTGCATATTTTTTCCTCGGTCCTTGCATTTGAGATATTGTTCAGGGCATTGAGCTACTCTGTCTTTCATGTTACACATCAGTCTCAGATAATCGATGGACATTATGTATGAGTACTATTTCACCTCTGGCAATAGCTAGAAATCTTTTAGATTATAATGACGTTCATTGCGAAGCCAGAAAACATAAGATGTGCAACATCTACACCTTTGTGACTCCAAATACCCGAACTCGTTACACTCCCCCACCCCCACACACACTGCTATATGAATATATACCTATGTGTACTTATAGGATAAGTCGATTTATAAAACAGCATAGCAGATGAAAATATCCTAACCATTATATTTCCTTCTTCAGAGATCTGGGATGCACTCCGAGCTGCAGCAGAGTCGGATATAAGCCTTGCACAAGCAATCGTGGACAGTGCTGGGATAATCGTGCAAGCCCCTGATTTAACAATATGCTATGACGAAAGAGGTTTGTAGTAGTACTTTTTGCCAAATACTTGTTGACTTCATTTCTCTATAATCTCATTGTATCTAGAGGTGGATCCAGGATTTGAAGTTTACAGCTTCCTACGACTTTAAGTTAAATATTACGATAATAACTCAAGGTTAAATATTTATAGATATTTCGTGAATGTTTTAACACATAACTCAATGCTCTAGATCCGCCACTGATATTTGTATCAACTATTATTCTTTTGCAGGTGCCAAGTACGAGTTGCCCAAGTATGTTCTAAGCGAGCCAACTAATTTGATTCGCGATAACTGAAAACTGAAAAGACAAGGCCTTCATGTAAAATACTTCATTGAGACTGTAAATTGTTGTAAATTTATTCTCACAAGTTATTTCTTTCGACAATTGATATTGTTTTGTGCATGATGGTCCTATATCAAGAATCAAGATATCAAAAAATGCTTTATGCCCAGAAAAAGAACAGCAACCATCTACCAGGGTATTATTTTGGACACTATATAGAATTGGTAAAGTTGTTTCCATCTGATCAGGAGGTCACGGGTTCAAACCATGGAAATGGCCTCTTGCAGAAATGCAGGGTAAGGCGTCCAGTCCTTCTTCAGAGGGCATAGCGGGAGCTTTAGTGCAACTGTCTGTCCTTGTTTTAATCATAAAGTTCCATTTTTTCAGTACCTTAGACTGAAATTCTCATAGTGAGCTCTTTCAACTTTGCAAAAGAAATGAGTCAAGGTTTTGTTCGTATCGCAGAAATCAAACGTTGTATTAGTTATGCAGAAATTATATTAATATTGCAAACTAAATGCTATATTGATTATGCGTAATTTTATATGAGATTACTTTTTTGGTATGCCTGAAATTAAAAGAACTATCATCTAAGGTTGTGGTAGGGTTAGGGGTTGTACTCCTTTATCCTTGGACTAGGTTCGACTTTCGAGCCTTCTGACCTCAAGTTAAAGGTGGAAAGATCTCATTCACCCAACTATACGATTTGGCAGTAGGTCGTTCTATAAGAGAGTGTCATTCAAGATAAAATGAAAATTGTGAAAAATTATAGAAAAAAAATTTCCTTTAAACTGCTAAATCAAAAAGAAAATAAGATACATAAATCTAAATGGGGGAGTAATATCTTAAATTTTATGGAAAAATATATACTAATATAATATAGTATGTTAAGAAGTCAATCTTGATTTGGTGTTTTATTGGTGGATAGTAGTTGATTTGTTTCTTTAAAATCTGTTGAATCTTTTATATTATTATTTTTCAACAAATCTTTTAGATCATCAAACTAATAATTTTAAAATCAAATTTCTAATATGTTTGTTTGTTAGATGTTAATTGCTGACATCTCTCCAAATTCACAACTTGTTAGTTGGTTAGAGTGTTTGGTTCAACCACTTAATCTACTTTACCCCAAAGCTAAATTGCTCAAATCAGCTCAGCTCAGCTCAGATTCTTTAAAAATGTCGATATGTACATATACTCCAAAAATAATGTATTTTTAGAGAAACGACACAAATATGACAACATTTTAAGAGAGTTCGAGTTTCAAGACATAAGAAGCTTCTTCTATTTCTCAATTTCAATCAAACAACTTGGAACAAATCAAAAAATATTTTTAAAAAAAATAAAAATACACCCCTTGGAGAAAACTTGTGGTCTTTCTTCAGACCAAATTTAAATCTTTCCCAAATTTGTAAATAATAATAAAGAAATTTTTTTTCTTTTTAATTTTTTTTCTCTTTTCTACATCTAAAACTTTTATTTAGGTACAAGAATGTCAAAATCAGTAACTGTCCACTCTGCCACTTGATTTGGATCTTTATAAATTTCAGTTCCCAAGTTGATTGAAGTCCATTTCCTTCTTGCTGGTGTAGTTCCTGGATCCTACAAGAAAAAATGCTCCATTATAAATTATATCCAAGAAAAAAAAGTCAATTTGGTAATCTAACTATACCTAGGAAGTGTTTTTCAATGATTGTTAGATAATATTTTTTAAAAGGATTTAAGTTATATACATCGATCGATAGTCTAAAGACTTTTAATATTATCGTTATAGGTGTTTGGTTGTTTTTTAGTAGTAACTGAAGTGGTTTTTCAAAAGCCGAAAGAAAAGTAGTTTTGTACCCATAAACACTTTTGAAACATTGATCAAGCACAACTGTTGCTCTAATCTACGTTGCTCGGACTATTCAAAAATGTCAACGGATACATATTGGATCCTCCAAAAGTAGAATCCGACATAGGTGCGACAACAATTTTTGGAGAGTCCGAGCAACATAGGCTTTAATATCAACAAATTGTTTTTCAAATTGATTAACCAAACACAAATTGCTGCTTTACAAGAAGTATTTTTTTTTCAAAAAGCGCTTATGACAACATAATACTTTTAGAAATAAGCAGATTTTAAAAGTTTGACCGGACAGTATGTTATAAACTCATTTTTTGGAATCCAAGAAAAGGGGAAAATAGATTCAAACCTGGTAAAAATAAAGTGATTGTGACAAGTTCCCAACATCAAGTTCCCATGTTGTTGGATCTCCAATCCAACCATCTCCTTTCCTAGTAGGATAACCATAATCCCCCCAAACAGGATGTGGCAAAATCTGCAAAATCTCCTGAGGTTGAGGATTACTATAAGGATCACAATGAACATTAGGTTCCTCAATGTGTTCACCATTTCCAGGTGCACAATACATATGATAAGCCTCATAAGGGAAACGAATCGTATCGTTTCGATGAATTCTTGATCCATTTGGGAAAATGTGGTATGGTGGACATAATTTTGGGCTATCTGGTTTGCACCATGATGGTGTTTCTGGATTCAAGATCATCTCACTGTATCGCGTAACGTCTGTTGTTACATTTCCATCACATGACTTGCCATTGTTCTTCCAGCAACTCCCTATGTCCATCAAGTAAAATTGGCTGTTTGGACCTCCTCCTTTTATCACATTTAAGGTGAATTTCACCTTAAAATTTGGTGATTCTGGTATCTACACAACACAAAAGTATCAATGTCTACAAAACAACAAGAATAACATACTCAGTGTACTCCGGACTCCCACAAGTAGGGTCTGGGGAGGGTGGTGTGTATGCAGTCTTACCCTTACCCTCGACTCAAATATCAAAAAACAAGTTTGTAAAACAAATACAATAGCGAAGATGACTTCAAAGTAAATAAAATTAAAATGTATGTTTGATAGCAAAAAAAAGAAAAGTTGAAGTTTTTACTCACAATTTTTAACATGCCTCTAGTTGGATAATGATATCCACCAGAAAAACCAAATGTAGCATCTGATCTTAAGTAAAGCATAAGCCAAGGATACTTATTTGATGTCTTCAACACATGATGAAAAATCCAACTTCCTTTTCCCAATTCTTTCTTCCATTTCACAGAATAAAATGAATTATTCTCTGTTCTTGATTTACTCATTCTACTATGCAAATCCCATGTACCAAAAAAACTCCCTTTAAGTGTAGTCCTATTAACACCTTGTAAAGTTGTGTAGTTGTGAAAAATCAATGGTTGGTTCATACACCCTTTTCCGAAACACGGAAAGTTGTTATCAGGCCCATACGGGCCTGATAAGAGCCCGTTTTTCGGACACTTAGCAGCGTATGTATCCATGTTTCCATTCTTGAGCATGATCATCCAAAATTGCCAAGGATTTGGCTTGTCTTCAACTTGACATTTTGATCCCAAGTAAAGTTCTTTTTGTGCTGCATAATGATCAACATCAAGAATTGCCTTTTTCTCCAATCCAAGAAATGATTTTCCTTTGCCTAACCTGTTTTCTTCCTCTGTCACTTTATGTACCAACATGTATGGTATTGCATTGCAAAGAGAACAATTATTTTCCCCTGTAAAAAAGTATATACATTAAATATTTAACACAACATATTGAAAAACCAACAAAACAACAACTCGACTACTTTTTTGGGAGGTACGTGAGTCAGGTCAGCTATATGAATCCTTACTGATCATGTCGTGACATTTAAGCTATTTTTTTGAGAGATATGTGTTACTTTCAGCATGGACTACATATCTATATACGAAAATTCTCCAAAACTAGTATAAATATAAAGTTTTGAACTCGTATCAAAATCTTGAATCTGTTAAGTTTAAATTCTGATTCCGCCTCTGGTTGTTGAACATGTATGGAATTGCATTGCAATGAGAACAATTATTTGTCCTTGTATAACAATAGCCATTATGTCTTTAAGACAATCTAGAGAAAACAACAAAACAACAATGCCTCAATCTTATAGTCAGGTCGACTATATGAATCCTCACTGATCATATCATTCTGTTTAAGCAAGATAGCTATGTATTACGAGGATTCATCATAACCGTCTTGACATCTCATCTTCCTTCATTCAAGTTTGTAAACCGACAATGTGAACAAGATCACACTAGCACAACTAAATACAAAACATTAACGAAAACTCGAAACATGGAATTCAACTTACCTTGTGATTGAGGAGAAGCTTTATAGACATCAAAGCAATCAGCAACTCTTGGACTTCCCATTTTAGGCACTTCTTCTCCAACTTCATTGCATTGATTCCATGCTTCAATAGCAACTCTTAGACCATCCCTTCTCATCCCCGAATCGCCAACAGCCGATATGTAACCATTTCCATGATCAAGATTTACACAAGAAACACCATAAAAGGACACAATGATTGAAAGAAGAGAAAGAACAATTAACCAAGAAGAAGTTTCATGTTGAGCCATTGGTAAGTTTTTTAAGAGTATGTTAACACTTCTTATATATACTAAAACCATTGGGAAGGACAAAGAAATGGGACATGATAATTTTAGATTTTAATAATATTCGAGTTAATTTCTCAGATGATCACTTTACTAATAAGTATCATCTTAGGAAGTCGTATTTTTCTTGATTCCAATTTTCTTCAACAGAAAAAGTAACTTTCTGAGATAATAACGGTTAGCTGAATGACCATATGAGAAATCAACTCCCTTATATCCATGTGTGAAATTGATAACTACTCTCCTTATTGTTTCATCAACTTTACTCAACTAACTCCTTTGAACATTTTTCTCCTTTCACTAGAAGAAGAAAGTTCTTTTTTTTATAAAAAAAAATAGGAATTAGCAACGAATATTTTTGCTATTTGTTGGTAAATAATACCCGTATCTAATCGAATTATTTATAATTCATTTAAATAGGATTAGCTATAGATTTTTGTTGTTCAACAATGTGAAATTGATAACTACTCCCTTATTGGTTCTTTAACTTTATCTCTTCAGTACCAAAAAAATGTGGAATCAATCACGGTTTTTTTATCTATCCGATTTGTCGGTAAATAGCTTGTAGCTAATAGTGACATGCCAGGTTGTTTAGCGACAAAATTTGTTTCTGATTTCTATTTTTCCCTATTGTAGAGTTTTTCTTTTGTTTTTCGCGTATCAATGTATTATATCTGTATTGGAGTCTCGATTAAATCTTGATCATATTGTTAAGTCCCACATCGATCGTGGGAGCTAAATTGTTCCCTAATTAACAGACGTGATATTATATATATTTAGCTTGAATCGGAGACATTTGATTAATTAAGTTTGACACCTATACAAGTGATTGGTAAATTATGATATGGCAGCTGGTTTTGTTGTTGACACTTTCTTCATGATTGGTTAGGTTCCAACTTATTGATTTTGAAATAAATATTCAAAAGGATCTTTTTACCAAAACCTCTGTAAAAGAAAGATCTATTTGTGAGCAACATTACCTAACAAATTAATAATGTTTTTGTGTACTTGATCCTTTGATTCGCGAATTAAGTTATCTCGAAATTATATATAGTCCTGATATTATAACTTTTGGACTAAGTTATCGCATATCACACCTTATTGCATGAACCAAACGACTAGTTCATTAATCCAACTCAAAAGTAAACAAATGAAAGAAAACATTGTTTCGTTTTGAATAAAAGATCTTGAAAAAGTTTGGATAAATTGAAATCCCAAATTATTTGTTTATTTTAACTTTTATTTGGTGTGAAAATAAGAACTTTGTGATGAAGAAAAAGGGGGTATTCTTGAACTCAAAGGGATGCTTTTTATCATGTAACAAGAAAGTACAAGTATTGTTTTTTTCTTATTTTTTTTTGTATTTTTGATGACTTAAGATGCAAATATTCTTTTTCAAGAAAATACTAAACTTTGAGAATTTCTTTTGTTTTTATGAACTTTATATTATCAAAATTGTGACCCCACAAGACACATTTGCGGAAGTTTTGTAACAACTCCAATTTGCAATAGCTACAAAAAAGCAAAAATTATGAGTGTTTTTGGTAGGTGGGAAAATCACTTTTTAGGAAAATATTTTCCGTGAGGTAGTCATTTTTCTTATTTTTAATATCTATTTTGGGAGGTTTTTGTTTTCGTGTGAATGTAAAATTTTTGAATTTATGGTTAATTTTTTCTTCAGTAATGTTATAAGGAATACGAATTTTTTCATTGTAAATTTATAGGAATCAATCAACGAATTTTAGTGAAAAAGAAATTTTCATGTTGAAAAAGAAGATTTTTCTATTTGGTACGATGAAAAACATTTTTATCAAAAAGAAGGAAAGGATTATTATTAATTTCTCATATTCAAAGTTTTTCCATCATAACTTTAGGCACTTTTTATTGATTCAATCTACATTTATTAATTTTTTAAAAATAAATTCCAAATATAATAAATATAATATAACCATTCGGGGTTGTGATGGAGTGGTAAGTACTCCTTCATATATATATCCAGTAGTATTAACACACATATCTTTCTTAGACCAAATATGATAATTATATTCTATATGTGGTTGAACTAAATTCTCTCTTGAATTAAACTTCATTACTTTTTTTATTTCCCAATAAACGTTAGTTTTATATGTGATTTTTTTACGTTGATTAACATATAAAGCTATCTGAGTTTTCTCTATACTATGGAAGTTGTCACTCTTTTTTGTTATAATACTAGATTTTGTTGCCCGTGCTATGCACGGGCCCAATAACATAAATGGTATGTTTTGGGGCTAATAACGAAATTTTTGAAGCGATTGTTTGCGTGGATAAAGGAATAAGTTTTTTTATCACAAACCTGTACTTTCTTTGACGCTATTCAAGGCACAATAAGACTACCCACATACAACATTTTTGAACAATTTTATGTTGTCAATTATCACGATTTAATTTTAAGAATCAGTCAATTTTTTTTTCTGTTTTTTTAATAAATATTTTAAGTTGTCAATTATCACGATTTATTGTATTTTATACATAATTTTTAACGATAGATTAATTTCAAGAATCAATCGAATTTTTTTAAATGTATTTATTTTTGAAATATTTTATGTTGTCAATTATCATGATTTATAGTATTTTTACGCAATTTTTAAATATAAAAAATTTAAAAAAATAAGACAAATAAATTAAAATGGACCCAATATATGTTATTTTTGTTGTCTCAATTTATGTGACACAAATGAAATTTGGAGAGTCATTGAATATTATATATTATACTTGGGCATAAACTCTCTTACGCACGGGCCCAATAACTATTATTTTTTGTCCTAATGTATGTGACACAGATAAAATATAGTGAGTTATTTAAATTTAATATGATTTTTAAATATTTTAAGTTGTTAATAATGTAATTTATAATATTTTTACGTAATTTGTAAATACTTAATATATATTACTCCACTTGTCTCAATGTATGTAGCATAGATAAAATTTCAAGAGTTAAACAAATGTTGTTAATTGTTAAGATTTACAATACATTTTACGTAGCTTTCAGTAATTTGACATTAAATAATACATATTACTACTTTTGTCTCATTTTATGTGACATTGATAGATTAATTTTAAGAATCAGTTAATTTCTTTTTTTGTGCATTTTTAATAAATATTTTAAGTTGTCAATTATCACGATTTATTGTATTTTATACATAATTTTTAACGATAGATTAATTTCAAGAATCAATCGAATTTTTTTAAATGTATTTATTTTTGAAATATTTTATGTTGTCAATTATCATGATTTATAGTATTTTTACGATAGATTAACTTCAAGAATCAATGGAATTTTTTGTATCTTTTTCAAAACATATTTTATGTTGTCAATTATCATGATTTATAGTATTTTTACGATAGATTAACTTCAAGAATCAATGGAATTTTTGTATCTTTTTCAAAACATATTTTATGTTGTCAATTATCATGATTTATAGTATTTTTACGATAGATTAACTTCAAGAATCAATGGAATTTTTGTATCTTTTTCAAAACATATTTTATGTTGTCAATTATCATGATTTATAGTATTTTTACGATAGATTAACTTCAAGAATCAATGGAATTTTTGTATCTTTTTCAAAACATATTTTATGTTGTCAATTATCATGATTTATAGTATTTTTACGATAGATTAACTTCAAGAATCAATGGAATTTTTGTATCTTTTTCAAAACATATTTTATGTTGTCAATTATCATGATTTATAGTATTTTTACGATAGATTAACTTCAAGAATCAATGGAATTTTTGTATCTTTTTCAAAACATATTTTATGTTGTCAATTATCATGATTTATAGTATTTTTACGATAGATTAACTTCAAGAATCAATGGAATTTTTGTATCTTTTTCAAAACATATTTTATGTTGTCAATTATCATGATTTATAGTATTTTTACGATAGATTAACTTCAAGAATCAGTGCAATTTTTTGTATCTTTTTCAAAACATATTTTATGTTGTCAATTATCATGATTTATAGTATTTTTACGCAATTTGTAAATATAAAAAAAAATTAAGACAAATAAATTAAAATGGACGAAATATATGCTATTTTTGTTGTCTCAATTTATGTGACACAAATAAAATTTGGTATATTATATTATATTATATTATATATTATATAAACTCCCTTAGAAAATAAATATATATTATATATATTATATAGTAGAAAAAATGATTTATTATATTATATTATTATATAGAAATGTCCCATCATAAACTCCCTCTTATATATAAATAGAATATATATATAACTACAATAATGATGGTGTTAATGTCAAATTAGGCACACCTCGATTATTTCATCAAACATCTATTATTTGATACTAACAATTGTATTTTGCCTCGCACCAATATAAATATCAGGTAAAGCTTAAGCATCAAGCAAAAAAACAACCTAGTATTCTTTGTTTAATTCTATCGAAGTCAATTGTTGACTCGCCAATGAGAATTGTAATGAAATGATAAATACTTCTTCATTCTAAAGCAAAACTCTGCTAGGTACAACTTCGTTGAGAAATGTTTTACCCTAATGTAACACTTTTCATAGTAAATTTAAATTTAATCAGACATTCTGATATCGAATATCGAATAAGAAAAAAGAATGTTGACTTAACAGCCACAATTTTCAACACAACAAAGCAACCAATCAATCAATCACTTTGCATTAGACATGTTTTTTTGCCCTTTAAATTTCTCAAAGGCCACACAAAGCATATATAGAATCTTTGACTAATATTATTTCTTGTTGATAAGAAGACAAAAATTTCATACAAACACCACTTTTTTGGATTTAAGAGTCCACCTTTGTAGACTAGCAGCCCTTAACCACATGGCCTTAACACCATTCATTTGCTCTTTGGGTCTACAAACTTCTCCACTTAGAAAAAATGACACTAATGGCATGAATATAGCAATAACAATGATATTTAGACCAACTTGCGCGCATCTTGACTGTTTCACCGGATATATTGTTACCTTCCACTAGCACATGCATTAGATAACTCTATAAGACCAAGATTTAGCCCGACAAGACGAGATCACCTATAGCTTTTTGTCTTAGTTAGGATTTAGACTCTAGTTTCTCGTACTTTTCACCCGCTTCATTGATAACTAAGGTCACACTTATCCAAGATCCTGTATATAATTTCAACCATAAGGAACTTGTGTCCCTGACCATGACCAACATTCACCATCAGGAATTGAACATGTTGGTATATCAACAATAACAACAATATACACCCCTCCCACAAGTGGGGGTCTAGAGGGTAAAATGTACGCAAACGGGTAAAGATGTTTTCAATAGACCCTCGGCTAAAAAGCAAACAGAATATCTTCTTTTCAAAAAAAGAAGACACATTTAGGCTAACAATTTACACATCAATAAAGTCTATCCTTTTAGACTTTGTTGACATAGAAGAGATTAAACACATCGTTTCGTAGGCTCTTTCTCAGGCCTAAATTATATACTAGTAGTCAAATGTGCAAAACTGGAAACAAGAAGCATCAAACAGAATAAATTGACACAATTGATTGTCTAAAGAAGAAGCAATACATATATCAGTGTGTACAGTGAACAAACATTTTAACAATCAAGAACGTCTGAGCTACTGAACGCGTAGAGCAGCAACTATTACCTCATAGGAATCTACCCGAGCTCTGGTAAACCATTCTTAAGGGCCAGGAGGAATTAGTTTAAATGCTAACAGATCGAGAACCATACAAGATATCCGCAACCATGACATATCCAGAATCAGTATAGACAGTATTACACACGTCGTGTGTTTCTACTGATAGCATGAAACAACTGAACACCCTGAGCAGAAGAGTATAAAAGAATCATATATAGCCTACCCCAACTGATTTGGGATTTAAATGCTGAAACGACGACTCATACAAACATTGCATATTCATACATTAAAAGGATAACAAGAGAAATAAAGCAAAAGGAGTGCTAGAAAAATTACTCTTACCTTATGTAACACAAATCGGTAACATGGACAGGCAAGGCCGGAAAGAATATAACTACATAAAACATGAAATTGTGCCAGACTAGCATTACTACTGATCGACTCTATCATTCACTATATCATGTCATGCTGAACAAGGTAAAAACAAAAAAAGAAGGTTAATATACCAAAATTCTATGTACTCTGACAAATCACTTTCTCTAAATTTACAACAAGAAACAGGCAAAAAAACATTTACTATCAAAAATAGTACATACCCTGCCACATTACATTCTCTCTGCTGGAGTAAGATGTCCCAACTGTTCTGTAAGGCTAATTACAGTCTTCCTGTTCCACCAAAATTTCCCATCCTCAACTGTCTTGGATTCACTTATTTTGCTCTCCATATCTTCCCTTTCCGGCTTTACATCAGTAGAACCAGGGTTCTCAGTAAGGAATTGTTCCCAGAATACATCATTTACTCCTGTTGGCACATTATTACTAGCAGTCTCTACTCGGTTTTCTGGTGGAGTAACATCAGGAGTAGTGTTTCCATTAGGCTCAGAGTTCATGTCAATATCAGAAACCTTAGATCCAACATCAACAGTTAGTTGTGGGTAAGATATAGCAGGGCTATCGGCACAACTGATAGATTCATCCAAGTCTATTGAAGAGCTCTGTCTCATTCTAGCTTGATCAATGTCACGCAGTGTATACTCCCAAAAGGTCAAAGAAGGTTCCAACTGATCTAGCACTTCCTTGTTGAGAGTCAAAAGAGAAGTTGGGTCCATATTTTCCCTAGTCGAATTTTCAGAAGAACTCGCTTGATTATCTTCAAGGCCTGTTTCATTGTAAAGAAAACTGTTTCCTGGCAACCTTCTCTTCCTTTCATTCATTTCCAGTTGTGGCATGAGACTCAAAGCTAATCCTGGTTTATTTATGGTTCGAGCTAAAGTAGACAGCACGTTCTTTTGTCGGTCTTTCACTTGTTGGACACGTTGGTTAAGGACCTGCATTTGCATTTCAAGTCCTTGATGATCCTGTTTATGTCTGTGTAGTACTAAATGAAGCGATTCGTTCTCATGCTTCAACTTTTCAATATCTTCCTTATACCCTTGTCTTTCCGATTCAGTCAATGCAGATGATGAAAGGATATGAATATTCTGTACAGAATGACTGTGAACAGGTTTCCGTCTATAGATATTCTTCAAAAGGTGTGGCTGACCTCTAAGAAAATCCTCATTTGCAAATTCCCATTGTTCGGGATCTATTTTCTTGAATCCCTGGTTTGACAAAAGAGCAAACGACATGAGAATAAGAACAAAAACAGTAAAAGACTGAAACTCAATTTAAAAATAATTTCACTGCAAATGAATCAAGTAAAACGAATTTCTTACGTAAGTGTTTAGCTGTCGGATAAAGCTGGAAAAATTATTGTGCTTAAAGTATCTGGGCAACAAATCTCTTGCAAAATCAGGAGGATTAAGAACAATAAAACTTTTATTATTTGAACTCCATGAGACTATTGGATCAGTGGAGGGGTCATCCACCATTTCATATATCTTTGCAATAAACGGAGGCAGTGCATTGACGCTGCAAGGAGCTTCATCCATGGTAAGTTCAAATCCAAATCACAACCCCTTGAAATGAAACTCACAAGGCGAAGCTCAACTATAAGTGACAAATCCTTAAGGACAGGGAAGATCAACTTATCAGATTCCCAACATACGCATACAACCAGCCAAAAGTGTTATCACCTTGATTTCCTTCGATAAATTCAACTGAAGCAGCTCCCACCTGATCATACAAATTCTTTGCGAATACACATTTCCATTCAAGTCCCAGCTCTGGATCACTTTCAAAACACATAAATTTGCTAGAGAATTGTTAAAAGAGATTGTGGCCCATCATGAGTTTCCACAAGTGCTCAAACAAATGTTAGCTTGAATTCAAAAGATAGCCGTTTCACCCTCTAAAACTCAGAAATTTCCCAATTTGCCTGCGTTTACAACCAATCACAGTCAAAATTAGAAAGCATAAGAAGATGAGAAAAGTTAATCACTTGTCAGAATACCTAGAAACCCATTACATCAAAGTCATTAAAACAACCATTATTACTCCCAAAACTTCAAGAACAAGCTCAAATAACTTGTCTTCAAAGAAAACCAAGATTTCCAATTCTCATACAAATGCTAAAAAAGCAGTCTTTTCACACTAATACTCAAGAAATTTTCAAAACCCAATTTCCCTTGAGTTAACAAGCACAAAATCAGAAAGTGCAAGAAGATGAGAAAAGTTAATCACTTTACAGACAACCCAGAAACTATTTACATCAAAGTCGTTAAAACAATCATTATTACTCCCAAAATTTCAAGAAAAAGCTCAAATAACTTGTCTTTAAAGAAAACCAGGATTTTTAGTGCTCAAAGAAATGCTACAAACAGTTTTTTTTACGCTAAAACTCGGGAATTTCCAAAACCCAACTTCCCCTGAGTCAAAATCAGAAAGTGTAAGAAGATGAGAAACCTTAATTACTTAATAGATTATCCAGAAACCATTTACATCAAAGTCGTTAAAACAATCATTATTACTCACAAAACTTCAAGACAAACTCAAATAACTTGCCTTAAAAGAAAACCAAGATTTACATTTCTCAAACAAATGCTAAAAAAAAAGTCTTTTTCACACTAAAGCTCAGATATTTGCAAAACCCAATCTCCCTCTTTTTACAACTAATCACAGTCAAAATTAGGAAGTGCAAGAAGATGAGAGAAGTCCATCACTTCACAGATTACCCAGAAACCCATTACATCAAAGTAGTTAAAACAATAATCATTACTCCTAAAACTTCAAGAAAAAGCTCAAATCACACACAAAACTCAGAAATTTGCAAACAAAATTTCCCTGTCAAAACTAGAAACAAGAAAATGAGAAAACAACTTGATGGATTAACCAGAAACCCATTACATCAAAGACATTAAAACAATAATCATTACTCCCAAAACTTCAATGAAAAGATCAAAACACAAACACAACTTAAAAAACTTGCACTCACAATTAACTAGAAAGTGCAAGAAAATGAGAAAAGTTAATAACTTTACAGATTACCCAGAAATCCATTACATCAGTCGTTAAAAAACAATCAAATTTAATCCAAAAACAATCAAATTTACTTCTAAAACTTCAAATCAAAGTCGTTAAAACAATCACTATTACTCCCAAAACTTCAATCAAAAGCTCAAATCACACACAAAACTCAGAAATTTGCAAACAAAATTTCCCTGTCAAAACTAGAAACAAGAAAATGAGAAAACAACTTGATGGATTAACCAGAAACCCATTACATCAAAGACATTAAAACAATAATCATTACTCCCAAAACTTCAATGAAAAGATCAAAACACAAACACAACTTAAAAAATCAGCAAACACAATTAACTAGAAAGTGCAAGAAAGTGAGAAAAGTTAATAACTTTACAGATTACCCAGAAACCCATAACATCAGTCGTTAAAAACAATCAAATTTAATCCAAAAACAATCAAATTTACTTCTAAAACTTCAAGCAAAAGCTCAAATCACACATAAATACAAAAACCCACAAAAGATATACAATAGAAAAGTTAATAACTTTACAGATTACCCAGAAATCCATCACATCAAAGTCGTTAAAACAATCACTATTACTCCCAAAACTTCAATCAAAAGCTCAAATCACACACAAAACTCAGAAATTTGCAAACAAAATTTCCCTGTCAAAACTAGAAACAAGAAAATGAGAAAACAACTTGATGGATTAACCAGAAACCCATTACATCAAAGACATTAAAACAATAATCATTACTCCCAAAACTTCAATGAAAAGATCAAAACACAAACACAACTTAAAAAATCAGCAAACACAATTAACTAGAAAGTGCAAGAAAATGAGAAAAGTTAATAACTTTACAGATTACCTAGAAACCCATTACAGCAAACTCGTTAAAACAATCACAATTACTCCCAAAACTTCAACCAAAAGCTCAAATCACACATAAATATAAAAACCCACAAAAGATATACAATAGTAAAGTTAATAACTTTACAGATCACCCAGAAACCCATTACATCAGAGTGGTTAAAAACAATCAAATTTACTCCAAAAACAATCGATTTTACTTCTAAAACTTCAAGCGAAGGCTCAAATCACACATAAATACAAATACCCACAAAAGATATACAATAGAAAAAGTTAATAACTTTACAGATTATCCAGAAACCCATTACCTCAAATTCGCTAAAAACAATCAATTTTACTCCAAAAACTTCAAACAAAAGCTCAAATCATGTCATATCTGAAAGCACGAGAAATCCATTGTGAGAAAATTACCTGTAAGAAAAAATCAAGAATAGTCCTTAACAATAAGAGGCACATAGAAAGATGAAGAAGTTTCAGAAGAAGAAGAAAGTTTACTTTGACCCTTTTCTCAAAGACTTCTTCTCAATGGTTTTTGGATGTTTATTCATATTATATTATATTATAGTTATATATGGTGGCTATTTTAAGAGTATCAAATGAGTAGTTAAGCTGTTTTTTTAGGAGTGAATATATATAAGTTGAGTTAATAAATATAATTTTAAAAAAATTGTGATAATTTTAGAAGAACTTTAAATATGATTATGTTTTGAGATTAATTAGAAATTTATAGCTATAGTTTATTTAATTGTGATTTATAATTATTTGTTAGAAGAAAGAGAGAAGCGATCAAGATTGGAAAACAGAGGAGAAATGAGAGAGATGATGAATATATGTTGTATTTGATTGTATCACGAATATAACTAATGTATCTGATTTATATCAACGGATATAATTATATTAAGTTGTATAAATGAATATGATTATATTAAGTTGTATAAATGAATATGATTATATTAAGTTGTATAAATGAATATGATTATATTAAGTTGTATAAATGAATATGATTATATTAAGTTGTATAAATGAATATGATTATATCAAGTGTATATGTTCCTTATGTATTCACTATGTATCAACGTGTTTGAGTGTACATGCAACAGGCTATAAATTTATATCAATGTATTCAACTGTATTTTGTTCCTTTTATACATATGTGTCATGTATTGTATATTTTTTCAAAATATGATTGGATTTCTCTCTAGTTTAGGCATATTGAGAGTCTGAGTAGGAAATTGAAGAGGAGAAGAGGAAGAAGAGATCAAAGTTTCCGTCATCTCTCACCTGATACAAATCTCTTGTCTGATTTGTATCAATAATATCTCATCTGAAACCTCAAGCTTTTTGTTGCTTATTGAATGGGGAAGGGGAGAGATGAGTGTGAGTTTGAGAGATGGGAAGATTTTCTATAAAATCCTAAGTATAGTTATTTAATGTAATTTTTTTAAATAATTGTGTATAGTAAATACATAACACATACTATGTCTCAATTTATGTGGCATTTTTCATTTATGTCTATTAAAATAGAATGACACTTTCAATATTTAATAGCAATAATTTATCTTTAAAATGTTCATTTCATCCTTAACCAGATAATCTATAGTCACGCACAAATATTTATGATTTTTTTAAATCATAAATTTTAAAAGACTTTCTTAAATTTCGTATCAAGTCAAACAACATCATATAAATTGAAACGGAGATAATACTCTCTTAGTCTTTTAATATTATGTAATCTTGTCAGTTTTAGGTCAAATTCGTACTATTTTCCTCAAAATACTCATATCATTAAGGGGTTATTTGGTATGATGAATAAGGGAATAATCACGAGATAGAACTTAAGATTATTTTATGTTGTATTTGTTAGGATTCTTAGTTAATTTCGAAATTGTTTATCTCACTATTTTGCACTATAAATTATAGGATAAGTTCTCCATGTATGTTGTGGAATAACTAATCATATAGGACATACTAATTAATGATTAATTTGTCTATTTCATCCTCATATCAATCAGCCCCTAAAAGTATCATCTATACCTTATATATAGTTTCTTTTCAATGTGGATTTTGTTCATACACTTCACAATATTTCCCTCAAAATAAATTTTATCCGATCTATTATCAGTTATCACTATCAACGAGTCTCACCCCTCAAATTATGTTCTAAATGGCTAATTATCACGATCCCTTAGTCAATTTTTGAGATCGATTGTGCACCACCTCTATATATAATCAAGCATTAATTATGTCCAACAAATCCTAAAAGCCAGCTTCTTCTTGTAAGCTTATGCTTCACCTTTGGCATTGTAATTATCGAGCTACATACATCATTTTGTTATCTTCATACTTGTCTGATTGAATTGTTATATATATATTTGATATCGATTTGTTGGGTTAACTAGCTTAAGGATACTCTTTAATATGCTATAATATCATCTACTTTGGATCAAGCATGCATAATGTTAACTCCAAATTTCACCCCATGCATTAAGTGTATCCCTACACTTCATATATAGGTTTTTGGTCTTATCGATTTCAATGTAAGGTTTTATTTATGCATAAGTAGTATAGTAAATTTATATATTATTTTTAATCCTACCGAAATATACCCATAATAAGGGTTGGCAAAATGTTTTTTCTTTTAAAAACTATTCAATCCGATCCGTTAAAATATAGATTGGATCATTGACCATTTAAAAATAGATCAAATATAGATATTATCCATATTATCTACTAAAAAATTAACATTAAGATAAATAATATAAATATTTATATTATTAATACCCATTTATCTATTTCTTAATTATTTTTTTTATCCATGATATATAGTATTGACGGATCATATTTTTCTTCAATATTGAGGAAGACATCCTAACAACTTAATTAAGTATTATATTCATATCCAGTTTAGGTAGATATTCAAGATTAATTAATTAGCTTTATCAAGATTTACAAGAAGTCAACACAATGAGATTTTTTTTTCTGTATAATACGAAAAAAGTAGGGGAATGAATTGGAAAAAGAATCCTCCAATTTAAAATTTATTAGTTTATTTAATTTGTTTTGTTGCCACATTTTCAAAAAGGCAACTAAAAATAAATTATGCATGCGCGTTAAATTAGTTAAAGTTATCTGGGATGTTTTAATAACATACGAGGAGAATTGTGATTTATAAAAATGACCAAAATTTAACCATAAAATAGTATCTTAATTAAAGTTGTATAATTTAAACCTTTGTGAATTTTTTCATACTACACAATGAAAACTATGGATCCTTTAGTTAAATTTTGTACTTACTAATGACAAATTTAAGTGATTAATATTTAATACATTTGATTATTTTCCTCCTAGAATCTAATTAAAGCTGAATATAGAGAAGGTGATGTGGCATCTCTCTATGACCAGCATCCCTATTTATTTTTTTCTCATTTTTTTAATCCATAATATTGTACTAATTAAATAGTTTAAGAAAAGCCTAACAAAAGAAATGTTTACTAACGGTAATGTTAATGCCTAACATTTATGTTATTAAAGCCTTTAACCAAAAAAAAAAAACAGTAAGCCCACATAATAATAATAATTTCCAATAAAGCCCAATGAATTGCTTCACCCACGTAGCCAGACCTTTGGCTTTTCAATTTCTCCAGTTTTAACGTGCATTACCATGTCAAAATTAGGATATAAAAAGACAAAAGCTTTACCTCACCACAACAATTCTTACTGCTATTTAGTGTGGATTATATTAAGTTGGGCTTATTTGTATGTGTCATCTTCCTAGCATATCTAAATATATTCATTTCTATACTGACAAAAATTTTCTTGAATAGATTACACTTTTGAATCTCATGTATGAGTGCTTTTTACTTGATATTTGCTAAATTTTTCAGATTATGGCATTTGCATTAAGAAGCGTGTGGTGTTGAATATAATTTTTAAAAGGTCATTATATTTACCCTTTAAATTGAAAAAAAATATTTTTCTGCTTCTATTTATTTTATTGTGTTCTTTTTTTTTTAATTAGATCATTTGAAATTTGAGATGATATTCAATTATTTAAAAGTAGAGACACAATCTAACTTATATTTCTTTGTTTGATGCAGATGGATTTAGCTTTTTACTCCAACTACTATCTTCTATTAGTAAAGTAATGGAATTTGAACTTTCCTAAAAGAGGAGTTGAAGTTCTAATTTTAATTAATGGAAGGTAAGTGGACTTATGGTGTAAAAACAAAAATATTGATTTTGAGAAAATCTTAAATTTGTGTTGTGTTACTAATTAAGAAATCAAAATACTTTTCTTTTTTATGTATGTAGTAGGCGTAGCTATTTACCCAATTGCTTTTCTTATTAATCTCACTAACCTTTTGAAATAATTAATGGGTATAATATTTATACCTCTTCATATTCTATAATATATTTTATGTGATATTTTAATATTTTGTTTTGTTTTCTTATGTTGAAACTATATAATATTATCTTTTGATTACTTATCTTTATTATTAAGAAGTTGCAAAAAAAGAAGTAACAACATATATTTGACAATTTTTTAAAGAAAAGGAACGGGTAGAAGAAAAAAGTGAAAAGGGTGAGGAAAAAATAAAGACAAAAAGTATTAAAAAAAATGTACATGTAATTAGATTTATTAAAGATATACAAAGAAACATCATAATTTTTGGAAATATATACAGAAAGAATTAATTTTTCTTGAATTGTTATTTTTTTTTCTTTACTTTTTTTTAAACAAAAATAAAAGTATACGAAAATCAAGTACTTTAAAAGATTTAAAACTCCCAAGTGATGAAAATTTATATAGGAATGTATGAACCTAAATTAAATGTGAATAATTAAAACTTGAAATATTTGAATTTGAAAATTAAAAAGAATTTTGAAAATTAAATGTACTTTCTCCATAAGTTATTTAGGTTGAGAATTTTATTTTTTTCGATGATAATTATAATTATTTGAAATTATTAGAATCATGAATGTTTTATGGAAATATAGGACCTTCTTTTAATGAATTTTAATTAGTTGTCGATAATGAAATTTTGTATATGATTATTACGGGTTATCAAAATAAGGTTATTCACTATTTCTTTATGCGTATGAATTTTGATTAATAAATTGTAAATACTTTATATATGTTATAAAGTATTTGTATTGTAGTGAATGTCTATTATGTGGAGTCCTTTTAGGATATGGTTAGAAATTCTATTTGGGGATCAAGTTAGATTTTCCCTATAAATCGAGGGGTCCTCTTCAATGTAATATCATCCCTCAAGAGAAATAATAAGTGTTCTCTCTCTACTTTCTTCTTCTTATTCTATAGTTTCATAACAATATATTTCATTTAGTTTTTTTTGACTTATTTTAAATAATAATAAATTTCTTTCATAAATGACATGTGTTTGAATTGATGTTAATTAGGAGAGAGCATAATGCTTTATTAAAAGCTTTGGTATGCTAATTTCAATTTTTAACTTTTTTTTTAATATTACATTATTATTATATCATTTTAAAAAAATGATTTCTCTTGGTGTCAATTTA